AGAAGGCAGGAGTTAAGTCTGTATCAGCCATCCCCATACACACAGCACACAGCTGACAGAGTGGATACTAGAAAAAAATGCCTTGCCCCCATTTGAGTTCCTCAGCTCATTCCTCCCTCAAAAGGACAGGGAACAGGGCAACAATGATTTAATCTAAAAAGCTATCATAATCCTAAAAGCTATCATAATAGCTTACACACCAAAGCACAGTGTATGAAAGTATTGCACTGTCCATCTGTCCTAGTTAAACATGTTCTCTGTAGCCAGTCACGGTGACAAAGATGCATGCACTTCTGCTCCACTGCCCACATCCCACACCTGATACTTTCCAAACAATTAATCAATTATTAATTATGACAGCGACCACACTTTCATCATTTAAGATCCATCTTCAGAGGGGATGCATAAGCATTCTCTAGCTAGCTTCATTAAGAGGAATGCTTCACACATGAGCTGAAATCAATACAAAATGAAGAAAGTTTCAGCAGGTGATGCTGAGCCGTGGTCCTCCTGCAGTGACATCTTCCCTGAAAGGCACACACAGACTGGGGGAGTAGAGCAGTGACAACTGATGCAATTTTCCATCTCTACTGTGGAAAACTTTTTTTTTTTCTGTATTTGCAAAATAAAACAGGAACAAAGTCTTCTAAGGCACTTTTCTAAAAGGAAAAATGAGTGCAAATGCTTAAACAAAAGATAGTATTACATGTGTGAACGAAGAGTTTCATTTCCCCCAATTATGTTCTAATTCATTGTTTTTGCTTTTATTTTGCTGAAATACAAGATAGCATCTATATTTATAGTACTTGCTGTAAGGGTATGTGAATAGTCTATTGGTTTTTTTAATGAATCTAAATAGTTTTCACTTGGGAGTTACGTTCCTATAATAAACTATGTTCAAAATATGTTTACTAATACTATAAGGTGGAAATGCTTTGTAAACTACAAAACACTGTTCAAATTGAAGGGGGACATCTACATACCTAAAACAGAAAGCAAAGGCTATGAACAACTCTTACTGAAGCCTAACCACTGAGATCACCTCTTGCCAGCCAAGTTCAACCACACCTTCTCAGTTCGGTTTTTCATTAGCAACAGATGAGGCTTAACAGGGAGTTCCTGTGGAACTTCCTCCACTGGCTTCCCCGTTCCTGTGATGCCTGGTCTTCCTCCTCCTCCTGACCACCAGCTCTCACTGACACCATCACTGACTGGGCCCTACAGTCACTGGACCTTCTCTCGTCCCCCGCCCCCCACTGTGATAATGTATTCACACTGTCTCATGCTTTTTACTATCACTCCCATTCCAGCTGAGCATTTCCTAGATGGATTTCTCCTTGCTTAACATCAGAGTTCCTCTCTCCAAACTCATCACTTCAGTGTCTCCTTCAAGTCAGTATTTTAAACACTGAATTTATCCACTCCACCCTGCTCCCAAACCACCTACTGGGCTCTCCTGCTAATTTCCCCGTTTCAACAGCAGCATTCTTTCCGAAATAAAAACATTGAAACAACGAACATTTTCCTAATTGTGATTTTCAAACTCTCCTTCAGCTCTAGAGAAAGGGAACCAAAGACACAGGTGAAGGAATGGGGTGGGGGCAGAGAAGCTGGGGCTCCTTTTGCTTCCTTGGTCAGACTGGGTGGCCTTGGCGCTTCCCATACCCCCTTCTCCCCCCACTGGCTTCAGATCTCCCTCTTCTTCGCAATAAGAACTCCAGAGCTTTCCATCTGAAAAATCTTCCTTCATCATCAGAATGATGTTCCCCACTGCTGCTTTTATCACCCCAAGCCTCCACTCAGCAGCCACCTGCTCACACTGAATCCGTATTCAGTCCCGCAAATATCTGCTGACTATGCACTTAACCACTTGTCAAGGACCATGCCAGACCCTGAAGGGTTATTATCATTTAAGTTAAAAGTCTAGAACTACAGTACAAACAATATTCTGAATAAAAAGAAGACTAAGGACCTGTTCATATCCTTACAGAATATGTTACTTAAAGATGGAAGCTAAATTGTGAAAAATATATAAAACTTTTTTGATGATTACCATTAATGATGACTGTAGTTAATAACACTGTATTGTGTGAAAGTTGCTAAGACAACAGATCTTAGAAGTTCTCACCACAAGAATAAAAAGTTGTAACTGTGTGGTGATGTATGTTAACTTGAATTATTGTCATAATCATTTCACAATACATATGTCAAATCATCATGTCATACACCTAAAACTAATATGTCAATTTTATCTCAATTTTTAAAAATAAATAAACAGGAAATGGCAAAATCTAAAGCCTGGGCCATCAGGGAAAAAAAAACTATCTTTACATATGCACTTATAGGTGAACCAGGAGAAGTAGGAGTCAAGGAACAGAAGTCTGTTGTGAAAATCAGGGACACCTTCGCAGAGGAAGAATTAAACTGGATCATGAAGAACAAAAGGTTTCTAGTTTGGGTGGATAGGGGCTGGTGGGAAGAGCACGCACAACCATATTTCCCAATGTGGACACCGCAAACAATTTTTCTTAGTCCTAAACAAATCATAATTATCCCTTTCGAGGCATGAAACTCCTTTCTCCTTCCTAGGCCCCCAATCTCTTTGGCCTTCACCTTGTCAATCTGTGGAAGAAACATTCCTCAAGACTCAGCCCAAGGCCCAACTCTCTCTGTGTTCTTTTCTAATCACTCCAGACCCCAAAGACCCTCTCCTTGCCAGACCCTCTGATGCCTATCTGTTTCAGACCAACAGCATTTTATTTTAGATTGTTTTAGTCTCAAATCCCATTTACTAGTTCCTGTATATCATCTTGTTCACAAACATGTGGTGTGCATGTTTGATCTCCCAACACATTAAAAGCTCAAGTTTTTTAGTGGTTTGTCATACAAATGTATGAACATACATAGTAAATTACATAGTAAATGGTTTATTGTGCAAATGACAACTGAATTTTTTAAGAGAAGTAAAGATGAATTAGAAGTGTAATTTTAGATACAAATCACACAGTATTGCAACGAAATATGTTGGGAGATGGTAGAGCTCACCTAAAATCCTTGTGATGAACCTAAAAGCACAATTCTCTTACAGTAAAAGTTAAGACAGTTTCTTAGTTTTCCTTAATTCTATCTTCACCAGATCATCCTCCCACCAATATCCCTTCTCAGAAAACAGATTGAGATGTCATCGAAGAGGTAGACCCATATTGTCCTAAAAAGCACTGAAAAAAGAATTTCAGAGTCAAGGGCTACCTCCCATACAAACTCATCAATGTACCTCACAGTATGAGAGCATAATCAATTGCAGTTTTAAGCTCATCTTTCCTATTTAACAATCACACCCCATGCGGGTACAGCAGAATCCGATCCACTTGGATGCTCCTGAAATCTCTCCTCTTTCAAAACCCTTTCTCCCAATTCTAGGGTATCCTGAGGAGAAACCGAAGTTGGCATTTTCAGTATCTTGCCAAGAGCTAAATGCATTCAAAATCTATTACCGAACATCAAGAACAAACTCCACCTGTTTGTCACTTTCACCTTTTTGGAGTTAAGGGGACTAGAAGACATCCGGAGACTCCACAACACTTCTTTAAGCGAAGGACTGAAACTGGAGGCTGCCCCGAGCAACTTCCGGAAACAGTTCTAACAGTGCGATCCAGGAGACAATGCCACTTTGGTCCTGCAGACCAAATAACCCTGAAGGGTGAGTGGTGGGCATGGAAACACCGCAGCAGAGCAGGTCACAGCGACCAGACTGACTTCATGGAGTAATCACACGCAAGAGTCTCAACAATAACAATGTCCAGACCTTCCTTTTATTTAGTCTCCACCTCCAGGCATGGATAGATTAAGACTACGCCTCTAAATGGATAAAGGCATATATAAAATGAAGTACATCCTGTGGACTTTAATCAGTGACTACAGGATATAAAAGGCAGGGCACCAAACCCACCGGAATTCTCCCACCTGGAGAAAAGGGTTACACCAATCCCGCACGTAACTGCGGCCGCCCCAGGTGTACCCAGGTCCACTAGCCTCCCCGTCCCGCCACCTCAGGCGGAGAGGGCGAGGGAGACCTGGCCGGCGCGCCCCCGCGCAGTTCCGGGGTTGGGGGGCGGGGAATGGAGGGGGGGGTCGAGCTAGTTAAACTGCCACATACTGGCTAGGCGTGCCCCAGCGCGGACTTGCTCGGCTCCCGCCCCAGAACTTAGAGACTAGGACCAGGGACGAAAAGGGGGTGGAGTAAGGAAGGGCCCGCGGGGGTCTTGGCCGCAGCCGAGTCCCGGCACACACGACAGTTGTCAGCGGAGGCCGGGGACGCCCGCCCCGAGAGAATACAAAAGCCAACCGCCCACCGCCTGGCGCCCGGTGGCCTGAGGCCGGCTTGGGACCTCCGGGAGTCCCGCCCCGGCCCCTCGTCCCGCGGCCCCTCGTCCCGCGGCCCTGGGCTGCGCCGGCGCCTCCCCGCCCAGGTAACCGCGCCGACACCCCCGGCCCAGGTGGCCCCTGCGCCGGGAGCGGGACAGTGCGGGGCCACGCCACGCCCGTCCGAAGTGGGCGACAAGTGGGGCAGCGCCTCGCGCGTGGAGCCCGGCGCGCGCCCAGCGGCGAAAGAGAAAGAGAAAGAGCCGGCTCCCAACGGAGGTGACTCCTAACCGCCACAGCCCCCTGGCCCGGCCTCGCCGCAGGCGACGCGCACGCCCCTCGGTCGGGCGCGGGGCCCGGGGCCATCCCTGGCGGTGGCGGCCGTGGGCGCTCACGCGGTCCCCCGACCACACGGCTCGGGCGGCGGCGTCCTCCTTACCCCCGCAGAGCCGGGTAGCCCGCAACGCCGACTCGGCGACAGACCGGCGGGGCGCGAGCCGGAGCGACGAGGCTTGGCCGGCCCAGGCTGCGGCGCCTCTGGCCCCGCGGTGCCGGGCGGGAGGGGCGCGAGGGTGCACGCGCCGGGTGGGGGCGCGGGAGCCTCCCCTGCCGGCCCCGCGCGCATGCTCCCGCCGCACCTGCCTCGCTCCGGGTTCCGCTCCCCCGGGAGCGCAGTGGACGCGGGGCGGCCGTTCGGGCTTTCACGTGGGAGGGAGGTGGCTGCGGCTTTCTCTTCACGTGCGTCTTTCTCTTATTTGCTCCCTGGGAAGGAGTCCCCCAAATCTTGGCTACTCCCTGCCTGGCCTCTCCCCGCTCGCGCAGTGGTGTCCCGGGGCGCTCATCCCTGCCTCATCCCAGCTCTGAGGGTTCACCTTCCAAATGCTCTCTCTCGCCTCCGGATTCCTCCCCGTCCTTCTGCTCCTTCCGATTTTGCAACCTCGTCTCCGATGCCCCTTTCCCGCTCTCGACTTTGCTACACACCGGACGGCGGATACCATTTCAAAATAAAAGGATACTCTTTTCAGATGGCGAGAACAAATGTTGACTAGCCCTGTTCTAGCTGCTTGAGACTGAGTAGGAAGCAGGAACTAAGGAGTTCTTGCCCTCATGGAACTTCTAGTCTTACTCATTAGCGTTAGGCTTTCACAAAGCGTTGCTGCCGATTTGGAGAGAAATTTATTAAATCATCTATTTTGGCTTATATTTAACAGCTGGCAATCGAAGACTATATTTTGTGAAATTTTTAACTAGGTTTTTTTTTTTTTAATTATTAATTATTTATTTATTTGACAGAGAGATAGAGATCACACGTAGGCAGAGAGGCAGGCAGAGAGAGGGCGGGGAGCAGGCTCCCTGCTGAGCAGAGAGCCGGATGCGGGACTCGATTCCAGGACCGTGAGATCATGACCTGAGCTGAAGGCAGAGGCTTAACCCTCTGAGCCACCCAGGCGCCCCCATATTTTGTGACTTTTAAATGCAATTTTCTTTCATGAAGGTGTCTTGTATAAAAATTCTAATACGCAAATAATAGCCGTTAGGTACAATATATATATATTTGTTGAGTCCAGCAAGAAATGCGGTAATTTAACATGATTAACAATAATAATTTCCAAAATGATTTTTTGCTTTGTTGTTGACTACCATAAACGAACACCTGAAACTGTTTTGTTTTTCAGGCGAGACTGGTCCCTTGGTTACAAACATAATTTAGTGTTGTTGCGGAAAAGAGAAATATAAAACCCTTTGCTAATGCAGTTTTCGTTTTGGGAATCATGATTATAGAAATTTACAAGTACACACACACACAAACTGAGTTCTGTGCTCTAATCAGTTGAAAAGATTTGGGGCAAAGAGAAAAAGAAAAGGAAGCAGAGGGCATCGGTATAGAGAGAGCATTTAAAACAGCTGTTGAGGGCGCCTGGGTGGCTCCGTGGGTTAAGCCTCTGCCTTCAGCTCAGGTCATGGCCTCAGGGTCCTGGGATTGAGGCCCGCATAGGGCTCTCTTACGGCAGGGGGCTTGCTTCCCCCTCTCTCTCTGCCTGCCTCTCTGCCTACTTGTGATCTCTCTCTCTGTGTGTCAAATAAATAAATAAAATCTTAAAAAAAAAAAAAAAGCTGTTGAAGTGGTGTACTTTTTTCATACCATTTACCATGTTTATGCTAAAGACTTTATAGAGTTGTGATATATTTCTGTGACAACAGGCACACATCAGGAGACTATCTTGACATACTTACTCACCTGACTGCATGAAATTAGAATGGAATCCAGAGGATGAATGAGAGTTCCCCCTCCCTCTGCTACCTTTGGGAGCACAGACAACAATTTTGGCAAAGGACAAGTGTTCTGATTACTGCAGTGTAACGGTGGTCTCTCCCAACAGTGTATATCATTAAAGACGCTAAATCTTAGTGATATAAATGTCAAAATGTTCCCAGCACCGAAAGAGTTAAAAGCACTTCTGGTTCCACCCGTACCTTAGACAAATCAATGTTAACATTACACAAAATCAAAGAAAGCTGGATTGAAATCCAAGTAGAGTGAATTTATATCACCTTGTCTTCATTTTTTTTTTTGAGGAAACAGTTATTATTATGTTTATTGAATATATTTGGCTTGCTTTGATGAAAACGGAAACACTGTTTTCATGGGCAAGGTGTAAGTGAGGGAGAATGCGCCAATGAGACAGGTGACACAGGCAGAGAACCTCATCCTGGGTTACTTATATGTAAATCTATGGGTGCATAGTGCTGACAACCACATATGATTATATTCAAAGAAGTTGACATCTGTTTTAAACGATACTGTTATTCAAATTATATGGAAATATAAGCAGTGTAAGCAATGGTACACTTATTACAGAATTTTTGAAAAGCTGTTGTAGTAAACCCCTTTTATTTGAACAGCTGCCCATTAAAATGAAATAGCCACATTGTTGAGTATTGCAATGTTACCAACAGTCGGTTGTGAACAATGGAATTTAGAACACTGATGGTTCCTAGGCATTTTTTTTATTTATAACTCAGTTGAATCTAACAAACTAAGTGGCAAAGTTAACGTTGACCAGAGAGGTAAGGATGGCTTATTGTTAGGAATCACTGAGGGCAGAAGAGCCCCTTTAGGCATGTCATCAAGACATAACAGAGTCATGGCAGTTCTAGAATGTTTACCTCATGGGTGAAAATGAAAACTCCTCCTTTACTGAGATAGTGATGGTCTTTATTTAAACAACACTCCATTTTAGGGGTGCCTGGGTGGCTCAGCGGGCTAAGCCTCTGCCTTCGGCTCAGGTCATTATCTCAGGGTCCTGGGATCCAGCCCAGCATCAAGCCCCCCACTGAGCCCTGCATTGGACTCTCTGCTCAGCAGGGAGCCTGCTTCCCCCACCCCTTACTTCCCCCCTCCCCCGCCTGCCTCTCTGCCTACTTGTGATCTGTCTGTCAAATAAATAAATCTTTAAAAAAAAAACCCTCCATTTTAAAATTTGCTAAATTTATTTACTTTTTTCTAATTGGGGATTTATTTTATTTGTCAATATTGTATACATGTTATTTTTATATGTATATATGCTATTTTAAGTAGAATTAAATTACATTGCTTTATTATTTGATCAATAACGGTATTGCCCATTGACACAAAAGTGTTTTTAAAATTCATGATTGTTTCCTAGCATATACTTAGGACCATTTGGGAATTAAGCAGAGTAAATACCTTTATACACTTCTGTATGATTGAAGAGAGTTTATCTTAACAGCATTCTATGCTTACTCCACAAATTGTCCATTGCAGCTAAAATCATTTCACTGGTCGCCATTTATCATCAATAATTATTATTCTCAAGTTTATTTTCATGTTAATGCCATTGTTAATAATTTTACTCACACCACACCACATTTTCTCTGTTACAGCAATATTTTCCTAAGTAGACTGTCCAATTTTAAGCTTTCTTAATGAGTTGAGATATAGATAATTATACAGAGTTCTGCATAAGTATAAATACTGGTTCAGACAGAAATGTAAATAATATTGAAGAATTAAAGCTAATTTCAGATGATACTAAAAAGCTTCATAAATAAAACAATATGCACGTTATACAATTTTGAATTAAAGACTTAAAATTTATATAGAAATCTATTTATTTTTACACTTGTACTTTTTTTTGGTAGAACAGAGCTCTCATAAAATAGCATAAAAACCCCTTTTCCAGGTACACTCCCTTGAATTTTTAAAAATCCAACTTCTACACAATCTTTCTGATGATATTTAAAATCTGTGTAAACTGAACAAGATAAGGATCCTTACATCAATAGGCAAACTTCAATTTCCACTACAACCATACTGAATGAACTAATAGGATTTGAAGAAAGGCCTGAAGACTGCAGAAGGCGAGCAAGGAATCCCTTTAATCGCATTTTCAAAGATATTGATGACACAACCATACCATCTCCAAGGTGAGAGATCTGGAAAAAGAAAAATGGAAAATTCAGAGTAGGCAATTCATACTTTCTTAAAAAGATATATGCCCCAAATAACAGTGGCTAGACATGCATTCTCTAAGAAATAACAGGTGGGTTGATATGTAGAACACATGGCAGGTGTCAGGAAAGATGGTTGTTATTCCTGCCTCTGCCATTGATCCATCATGGAAGAAGCCACCTGGCTACAGAGCATATGTCTCATGGCAGAGTACTTCCTTTCGAAATCCACCAAGTTTAGGGTCTGGGTCTAGTTCTTAATATTGTAGGTCCAGAAATCTGAGTCTGTTAATTCTCCCAGAAGTGACTGGGCTAAGGTGACCAGCTAAAAACAAGAATACCAATGAAACTGGCAGATATAAATGCCAAAAAGATGGATGTTTGGGGGTCAGCACACTCCCACCACCACCACATTCCCACCACCGTGGCGGTGGTGGGCATCCTATCTTGCCTACAAAGGAAGGCAAGTTAGTTAAAGCAATGCCCAATGGCCAAGAAATCAAAACAAGGTAAGCCGGCTCTTCGTGGGTAGTGTCGACAAGTGACCGCTGTCTGATAGAACCATTCTCATAAAGGGACGTCTCCGGCCAAGATGCCCGAAGTCTGTGTCAGCTGGATATGATGCTCTTTGTTGAGGTCCATTTTTCTTTCGCATTCCAATCCTTGGGATATTCCAGGTCACCTTGACTGGATTTGGGTGCTTTAAAAAACTCCATCAGCAGCATATTTACAAACCATCTTCTGTGAGGGCTGGTACTGCAGAATAATACGCTGATTTATTTTTTCTTTTCAACCCTCTGCAAGGATGACTTTTTCTTAACTTTCTTTTGACCCAATCCCCAAAATCCAAAAGTATCAATGATCCCTTCCATACTAACTGTTTAAATAAAAGTGTGTTTGAATTATTTCCATTTTACATTTAGTTTCCCTATTTTATTAAAATTTTAACCAAAATTAAAAGGTCAGGGTTTTTGTTTAGTACATTATCTTAACATCAATGATTCCATGAAAAAATACAGAGTCCACTTTTTCTGGACTGAATATGCCTGTATTCTTTTTCATTATAATACCTCCAATACAAATTCTTCAATTCTTCAAGTATGAATCAACTTAAAACTACGAAAGTGACATTTGCTTGAAGAAATAAAAAGACTTTATCCATTCTCATAGGAAAAAAAGATGCA